CACCACGGGGTCCTCGGGGACCTGGACCTCCACGGCACCTGGGGGCGGTGGGGTGGGGCAGTGAGGTGGGGTGGGGGCACTGGGAGCCTCCCTAGTCTTCCTCCCCTTCCGGGTTAGTTCCAAGCCCGTCCACCCCTCCTTTAAAGCCGGAGACCCAAAGTAAAGCTTATTACCTGTGATCCTCATCCAGTCAACAAGACTACAGTAAGCACCTACTATTTGTTGAGCCTAAGAGTTAGGAATGCAACAGAGAAGAAGACCAAGGTCACACCCGTACAGAGCTTACCTTTTAATGGAAGCGAGGGACAAACTAAGACACAAATTCGCATTAGCATGGGATTAGGGGTATGAAAGATATAAATAAGCCAAAGGATTAGAGGTGGTAGCTTTTCAAAAATCTGACAGGTACTTTACCCCAGTCTGTGCTAGTTGAATTTTCACATAAGTATATGTTATCTTTATTAATCAGAAAGGGGAGTCTAAAAAGGTATATACCAAATGTTAACAGTGGTTTTCTCTGAATGAGAAAGGATCACGAGTGCTTTTTCTTTTTTCTTTTCCCAAATAAGCACGATTCGCGTTTATACCCAAAAGAAAGAACGCTCACACCTTTCAGTGGGGTTGTGAGGCACATTCTCACTAAAAGGATATGAAGTTGAGATTTAAAGGGAATGAAAAAGAGCCTGACATACAAAAAAGCTAGTGTAAGAGTGTTCCAGGCAGAGGGAACAGCAGGTGGGAAGGCTCTGAGGCAAGATTCAGTTCCCTAAGTGAAAATATCAGGTAGCTGCCCCCTGTGGCCAGAGAGTCTGGATGGGAGGGCTTCGTAAGACCAGTAAAGAATTTAGGTTTGCTACATACAATGGAAAGTCACTGCAGGTTGGGGTGTGTGTGTGTGTGTGTGAGATCCCACATAATCTGGCTAACAATGCTTACAACTCACTCTGGCTTCTCTGTGGAGAACGGATTAAGGACTATTTCAGTGGTCTTTGTAAGAAGTGACGTTGGCTTAGCTCCAGAGGGTGGCGGTGGTATCGGAGAGCATGGGGCAGATTCAAGGTTTGTTGATGAGGGAGAACCAACAGGACCTGCTGATGAATGGGAGGTGAAGGGAACACAGGAGCAGGAATCCCAGAAGCCTAGCGTCAACTCATCGCCAGAGCCAAGGCGAGGGGCATAGCCAGAGCAAAGCCCCCTGGGGCAGACTCCCCTGTTCGTCCCCTGCCCTTTATCCTGTGGATTGGCAAGCCTCCTCACCAAGTCACCTCTGCCTCCATTCCAGTTCTTCTTTTAGAGCCCTGGGAAGTTAGGCGGGGGTCCCCAAGCCTTTCCTTTGGGGAGGTACACTCTCTGGCACTGCCATTCTTAGGTGTGTGCTTTGCGCACCAGCAAAGCAGGCACACTCCGTGTAAAAATCAAACAGTCTTGACACAAAGCTGACTGGATATAGCACCCGTCAAAAGTTTCTTGCATTTAGAAAAGTAGTATTTTTTATTGCGAATTACACACAGGGAGAGGGTATCATGATCTTTGCACTGTGTAGAGGTCTCTAAAGGTCTTATGCTGGCCCTGGATCTCTCGCTGCAACAGCAGATGCCCCAGGCCAGCTCTCCAACTGGTGGCCCTTGTAGGGGGCATTTAGGAATGAAACCTGAGGAATCACCCAGACAAAATCCCTTTCTCCACAGAAATCAGAGCAGCAGTGACCAGAGAGTTGCTTCCTCTTTATGACCAGCAGGTGGCACCAGACACTCAGTTTAGTCTTCCCCTCTGGCGGAAGAAGGCAGTCTCTCCCTCTGCCAGGGACTGATAAGAATTTAAAATATGAGGATATTGTCATTAAAAATAAATCCATTATTGAATGCTGACTCTGTGCCAAGAGCTGTGTGGGAAGAGTTACATCATTTATCCAACATGGTTATTGAGGAGCTACTATGTGGCTGGCATCAGTCCTGGCACTGGGGACAGACCCTGCTCTTTGAGCAGAGCAGACAAGAAGCAGGTAAACATACAACATGTCAGGCAGAGGGAAAGGTTGGGAAGAAGCATGATGAAGTAAGGTCAAGGCTATGGAGAGGTGGTATGCTATGTTATACAAGGTAGCCAAGAAAACCTTGCTGAGGGGGTGACGTAGGAGCAAAGACCTGAACGAAATAAAGGATCAAGTCATGCTAATGTGTGGGCATGGAAAGCTCCAGGCAGAGGGAACAGTACGTGCACAGGCCCTCAGGAGGGAGCACGTATACTGTAGGTTTAAGAAACACATTATCACATTAAGTGCTCACATGACCAGTTTACAGAAGAGGAAACAGGCTAAGAAATGCTGAGTACGTTGCCTATGGAATCCCAGTGGAAATGAGTGGACAGGTGACAGGGGACAGTGGGAGGAGGTTGGCCAGAACCCTCCCCATCCCTGCTAGACAGACAGGCTTGGCAGGAGCCCTAGTGGGAATGGGCGCCCCCCCCCACTCCAGTCCCCACACTGCTCCCCTCACCTGTGATGCAGAACCACAGCGCTGCCAGGACTGTGGCCAAACGCACACGCATGCCCACACCCTCACTGGCCCAGGGACACAGCATCTTCCCGAGAGGCAGCTGACAGCTGGGCTCTCCGTGATGGAAGGCTGCCCCTGCGTGTGAGGAAGAGGAATTGAAGACTTTGTCTCCAAGGGTCTTCCCCAGGCCCGCCCTCACCCTACTGCCTCCCTCTCCCACCCCGCCCCAGCTCGGGGAAGGCTGCAATTGCCCAGTGGCAGGTCCTCCCTCCCACACCCTACAAGACTCCCCACTGAGGGGTTTTTTGTTTGTTTGTTTTTTTGAGACATGCTAGCTGGCAGGAGGGAACTGAATCACTGGGGAGGATAGACCAGGGCCACATGGGGCAGGGGGCAGCTGGGACCCACCCTTTCAGAACTAAGATGTTGTGAAGATGAGACAAGTTGGCAAGTAGAGGCAAGGTTGGCCAGCCCGGGGCAAGAATGCGCGCAGATCAGTTTGGCTCAGTTTGACTCCAGACAGCAGCTGGTGGGGAGAGTAAGGGCTGAGGCTGGAGCCAGACGTGGAGACAGGCTGAAAGGTCTGAAGTTTATCCTGAAGGCAACTGGGAGCCGCTGAAGGTTCTGGAACAGGGGAAAGGATATGGTCAGAGCGGTGCTCCATAAAGATGACTGATAGCATCTGCAGGATAAAGAAGAGATAAGGCAGGTCTGGGTGAGAACAACAGCACTGGAGGACATGCGGAGAGAGGAAGGGGGCAGTCAGGGTGGCCATGGTTTTGAGCCCAGTGAGCGGGTGGGGCAGTCACTGAGACAGAACATGGAGGCAGTCGGTGCAGGGTGTGGGAAGTTAGCAGTGTTTGTGCAGAAACTTCCAGGGGAGAGTTCTTGGAGGCAGCTGGTGTCAGAGTATGGGGCCCGAGAGAGAAGACACTTGCTAACTGGACACTTTTTAGCAAGTGACTGAGACCAATCAGAAACGGAAGAGGCCCGGCCTGGGGTGAACCCCAGAGGCTGGAATCAGGACCGAGTGCGAGGAATGGGAGGTGAAGGGAACATAGGAGCAGGAATCCCAGAAGCGTAGCGTCAACTCATCCCCAGAGCCAAGGCGAGGGGCATAGCCAGAGCAAAGCCTGTGGCCACAGGTGAGACCTCCCTGGGCCCAGCCCTGCTCCCGATCCTGGCTGCCCCCCCCAGTGTCTGACTTGGGCGGGCTGCATCCACCTTCACCCTGTCCCACAGCTGCTGCCTGACTGTTCACACCATGTCCCGATGAAGCCACATAACCAGTGTGGACTTAGGCTATCCAACACTGTTCAACAAGAACGCAGTCGACTTCACATTCTCACAACCACCCAGGGAGACAGCCGGATCGACTTGGTCCTATTTTTCAAGAGAAAAAAATAAAGCCCCTTATATAAGTGAGGTGCCTTTGTTAATGTGATGTAATCTGCCAGTTAGCAAGCTGGGGAGGGTTTGGGTTCCCAACCTCCTGCCACAGCTTTCTGCCCTCCCAAGGAGCAGACCTCACCCACAGCCAGCCAGCACCATCATTTTGGACGCAGGCACCCGGCCTCCAGCCTTCCAGTCCCAGCCAAGCACCTCCCCCACCCCCAGCAGCTGGGCTGAGGGAGTCCCTCAGCCAAACCGGGTGCCTCCTCCCCCCCCCCCCCCCCAGCTGTCCACAGCGGGGAAGCCCTGAACAGCCACTTCCTTCCCAGACACTTCCGGCCCAAACCTGGCAGCCTCAAAGCCTCGCCGCCTGCTGAGTCAGCAGCCTTCCCTGCTCCATTCATAAAGGCACCCTTGGCGGGCACCACATCCTGCCTACAAGGGCAACCCCTGGCTGCAGGAAAAGCTAGCAGGCTGCAGCCTCCGCGCTGTCCCCCACCCCCACCCCAAGGAAGCACCAGGACCTAAGGATTAAGAAGCTTCCAGATTCTAAGACTCCTTTCCTCTCTTTCACCTCCAGGAGAAAACCAAGGCCTATCTGTTCTTCCCAGGCCACCTCCCTCACCCTCCCCACTGCTGCTTATGCCTGCCACTCCCACCCTGACCCTCCTGTGACCTTCCTGAGAGGCCCTGCTATCTCCACTCTGCCCCCACAAACCCCACTCTCTACAACGTCTGCTCTCAGCACCTTATTCCTAAGATAGGAATCTGTTCACATCCTTACCCATGCTCAAGAACCTTTCGTGGCTCCCTATTTAGTACAGAAGTAAAGCCACTTTCCTCTGGCTGGCACTCAAAACTTTTCTTATGAGGTCTCCATATATCAAGCTTTTACTCACCAGGGTCTTTTGGGAATGCCTGCCACCTCCATGAATGTGGGGGAGGTCAGGGAGCACCCCCTCCTGATCAGACCTACCAGGGCTCCCCAAGGGCCAAGCTGTCCTTCACTCTAGAGGGAAAATGGGAGGATTTCCAGGAGTGGGAGTTGGGCTTACCCCCTTTGGTTACCTTCCTAGACTCTGAACCCAGCAAAATTCCCACTGTCATGGCTTACCCTAGGGAAAAACCTGACAGCCGAGAACCAAGAAGACCTGAGAATTCCACCACACCAAGAGGTTCCTACCCCAACAGCTGGTCCCCCAGAGACTGAGAGAGGGATGGAGAAACACCTCTCGGAGACAAGGTGCCCTTCAGGGAATGGGAGCAGGGCCTGGGAACAGAAAGCCCATCACTGCTCTTTAGGACAGATGGGCTGCCCTTGGAGGCACACAGATCTCGTGCTGCATTGGCACCACCCTGCCCACCTTCTCTACAAAGGGGAAGTCTCATCCCATGGTGGGACCTGCCCTGGAGTCAGCATGTACCACCCTTCCTAGTGAGTCACCAGCCAGCCCTCCCTCCTCCTCTTCCTTCATCCCAGACTCAGCCAAATGTGGGAACTCCAAAGAGTCCTGCCAGGAAAGAACACGCAGTGCTTTGGCTTTCCCCGGGGAAGCAGGACTGAGGGGCCCAGGCCATGCTTGGCCTGAAGGTGCAGCAAGTTCATTCAACCCTAGCAGAGGTGCAGTCACTGGGAAGCTCTCAAGAGAGGACCCAAGGTGTGCCTCCATTAAGCCCAAACCAAGAAACAAAGGCTGAGACTGGGCTCTTGGTAGAGAGCTCTTGGCTCAAGATGAATTCCTTGCCCCCACCATAACCACCCCATATCTCTTAACCCCCTGCCTCCTCCCAATCCCTGCAGGGTCCACTTGGGCAATGCCTCCCACTAAGAGGCCAAGAAGGATCAAACCACATAACTAGTGTCAATCTCTGCTAACCAGTATAGCACAGAGGCAGAGCTTCTGCAAACAGCAGTTAAGCACCTGAACCAAGCTATGCCTGAAACAAGTGCACACCTAGACTGTCCAGATACTTGAGTCAATCCTTTTTTTTTTCTTCAAGCTAGTTTGAGCTAAGTTTCTATTACCTGCAACTGAAAGACTCCTTGAATATACATTTGTTTGTGTATTCAGTAGTGCATTTAACTATTCACTGAGTACCTGGTAGGCAGGCACTGGGGACAGAGAGATGACTAAGCTATGTGTCTGTCCTCAAGGAGCCTGCATTCCAATCAAGGAGTGCCTGTGATTCACTGCACTTCAATACAGTACATTATTTAAGGTACAGTGAGGGCTACTTGCAGGTACCTCAGAGACATAATAACCCTAAAGGTGAGTCCAGAAAAATGATGAGCAGCATCCCAGGTAGACAGGCTGGGCAGGATGGCTTCTCCCCAGCCCCAAGACACCTGTCCTCCTGGCACTGCCTGGGTGCCTCTCAACCAGATCCCTTTGAAATAGTAGAAAATGAGCCCAAAGTTTAGGGTTCTGGTCCCAGCTCTGACACTGCTGTGCAATTTTTAACAGGTGACTTCCCCTCTCTAAACTCCATATGCCCATGTATAAAAGAAATGCTTGGCTGGATCCTAGCGGAACAATACTAGTATGTTAAGGCTTCATGTACTATATCCTTGAGCTTGAGCCAATTAGCTGCCATTCAGGTCATGCTAAAATGTACAAAATGACTGTGGCAGAAACCCCTCATTTCCCCCTCATATCTATTCTCCTCTTCTGTAGAATTTTTAGTTGGGCACATGGCCACTCAGCTGAAGACTACAGATCCCAGCCTGCCTTGCAGGGGGAAAGGTGTGTCCGGGTGACCATCTTCTGGCTAATAGGATGTGAGAGGAACTGGTGTGTACAACGTCTGGGTCAGACCCTTAAAGAGAGAGAGCACACCCTCTCTTGCCTCCTCCCCTTTCCCACTCCTGGAACACAGCTGTGGTGACCATCTGAAACCATGCTGCCAAAGGCAACACTCTGGAGACTTCAGAACAGCAAGACCCAGGGCCGTCAGAGGGGCTGCAGTATCAGCCCTGGACAGACTCGGCCTGTCACATGGGTGAGAGTAAGCATCTACTCTAGCGTCACTGTTATTTTGAGTCTTTTTACAGCATCTGAAGTGACTAATTTAGAGAACCATCCCTCCCCTCCTTTCCCTCCTTCTCTCTCCCGCTCTTCCCACCCCATGAAAATTGCCACGCTCAGAGAGCGAAAGGAAACCACATCTAAAATAGGTGTTTCAAAATACGAACTGGACCCTATCTCCTCTGAGTCACTTGATGACTGGGCCTGGCCCAGGGTAGGTGTGACCTGGCTTGGGGATTGTTTCGTTTGTATGGGAGGGAGAGGCTGACAGAGTCAAGGATGTCCTGAAGGCTTGAACAAGTGGGCACTTGGGGGCACACATCATACAATGTGCCTCCATTAAGCCCAGGAGACCTGGAAATGAAGCACGTGTAGGAGGAAGAACAATTCCTACTGGGCTTGAGCTACAGAGCATCCCTGCCAGATGCCGCATGGACTCCTGGACACACGGAGCTGGAGCTCAGAACAGGACAGGGAGCTACCCGTGGTTTGGGAGTGATGGGAGCCAAAGTTGGGATCATTGAGGGAGAGTGTGGAATGCGGAGAGGTCCCCCAGCAAATTCTGGAGAATCTGCAGAGGTTAATGGTCAAGTCTCAGAATAGGGAACCTCTCTCAGGCCACCCTCACAACCCATTTGCTCCCTCCAGTGATGGATACCCACAACCTCCCAAAGAAGTCTGCTGGCTTTGGGGCGGCTGTCACTGGGGAAAGCTCTG